CGTCTGCTCCTTTGAAATTTGTTAACATCTGAAAGTGACGTCATCGTTGTCATGGCAACAGCCGACAACTAAAATCTAACGTTTAAAAACTTAATTTTCAGTCAAAAGTCATAAAAAAAGCAAGCTTGTTTCGCTAGATCAATTACAATTTAGTAGCGAGTTCGATCCTCAATGGGCGCTCCACACTTTCAGCCTTGTGCCACATCTAAGCTACGCTTATCATCTGTACTTGCTTCGGCTACGAAAACTAAAAAAAAAAAAACATTCATAAAATAAAAATAATAAAACTAAACATTTGAAATTTAGAATTTGTTTACTGTAATTGAAATACGTTTTTAAATTGAAATTGTAGAATTTTTAAATCATTTAAGTAAAAAGCAAAATAAGATATTTACTAAAGTTACTTTTTAACTATAAAGTAAAAACAACAAAAAAATGAATAATAAAAACATTAATACAAATAATTTTCTTTTCATAATAATGATAATTTTTAGAACTTATTTTAAATTTATGATAAATATTGTTAACAGAAAAGATTCATTTAGTTTGTAATATCAATAATAAAAAAAAATTGAAAAAATTATACTCTCAATTCAAATATTCAAAGCACAGACAAATGGTAGATTTATAAATGTGCAAGATGGATTCTGGCAAGAAAAATTGTCTGGCAAAGCACAGTGAACCAACTTTCCTAGCAGTAGACCTGGTAATTGATTAAAAAAATTTAAATTTACAAGCCAGTTTTGTCTTTCATTTCAACTAGAAGATGCCAATGTAGCATTAATAGCTTTAATACAAAAACATACAGTTTTGTATTATGCTGACCTGAAGATGACAACCAAGCATACAAAGTTGAAATGTCATTAAAAAAACTTTTATACTTTGGTTTTAATTTTTTTTCATTTCACCCTATGCAAGGGGTTACTGAGAGTGAAAGAGAATGAGAAAGGTGTTAGTGAGGAGAAAAGACAATAAAAGAAAGGGCCACAGTAAGATAGAAAATGGTGATTGAGAGTGCATTTAAATTTTTGAAGATTGTAGGTTACAGGAAAGCAAGAAGCCAGAAGAGAGTTCCACAGGTGAGATGTGTGAGGAAAGAAACTATTAGAATAGAACTTACAGTTGCATCTATTTCAACAGTAAAATGATGATACTTAGTTGCTTATCTAGTACTACATTTAAATTCATGCAGTTGAGGTACCAGGGAGGAGAGCTCATTAGAACAATTGCCATGAAAATATTTATAGAACAGTCACAGAGATGCCACATTACAGCAGTGGGAAATTGACTGAAGTCGAAATACCAGGTAAGGGCTGATAACATTCCAGACCCTACTTTGAATTTTGTCAAGAATCATGTGATATATAACAGGTGCACCAAACCAAATATAGCAGAAATATTCAAAGCACAGACAAATGGTAGATTTATAAATGTGCAAGATGGATTCTGGCAAGAAAAATTGTCTGGCAAAGCACAGTGAACCAACTTTCCTAGCAGTAGACCTAGTAATTGATTAAAAAATTTTAAATTTACAAGCCAGTTTTGTCTTTCATTTCAACTAGAAGATGCCAATGTAGCATTAATAGCTTTAATACAAAAACATACAGTTTTGTATTATGCTGACCTGAAGATGACAACCAAGCACACAAAGTTGAAATGTCATTAAAAAAACTTTTATACTTTGATTTCTACACACACACACACATATTTAAATAGCATATTTTCATTCAAACATGTTTTATTGGATCATTTTAAAAATAAATAGACATAATATGGCTATATTATTCCATGAAACATGTGAATATATGTGAATGTATTTTATATATATATATATATATATATATATATATATATATATATATATATATATATGCTACTCTGATTAAAAAAGAGAAATAATTTACTAAGATGAAAATGTCTGGAAGGTGCCTTGATTTCTATTTCAGCCACAGTAAATTTGCGTCCAGGCTCTTACAATATATCACCATTCTTGGCAGATTTTCTATTGTCACAATGTGGGATAGTCAGGCAAAGATGATGGAGAAAAAAAGAATATAGATGAATTTGGCTAGATTAAAAAAATATTCTTTCAAAAGAATATTCTTTCAAAAATATACTTTCAAAAATTTGGAAACAACCAGCATCTCTCATTTCATGTGCATGTGTAGTTGTGGCAATATCAAGAAAGCCTTGTCTGATGAAGTCCTAGCAAATGAAATGCATCACTGTTATGGCAGTTCAATTGTGCTTTAAATCTGTAAGTTATTTGGAATGATACAGAGAGAGAGAGAGCTGAGATTAATTTAATTCTTTACAGAAATATCAAGTTTTCAAAATTAAGTAACAAAACAATGTTTTTAATAAAAAAAATAATTAAACAACAAAATGCAAAAAGTTTTATCAATATTTATTGCTAAGACCCTTGTTCTGAATTACTAATGCACATCATGTCAACAGGATTTCACTAAATTTTGAGATTCGTCAGCTGTAATTTTACACCATTTCCCCTGTAATTTTTCCCATAGATCTTAAACATTTGATGCATTCCTAGCCATAATACTTTATCCTAAAGTCTTCCTAGTTAAACTTTTCCGTAAGGGTCATGTCAGGACTTTGAGCTGGCTAATCCATAATGTTTATTCTTTGGTCATTCAGATAAGCAATAACCTGCTTTGCCTTATGGCAGGGAGCATTATCAAACCCAGAATTTTGTAATACTGATGCATGTCCTAACAAATTCTTGTACATAGCAGCATTAACTCTATAAGCGTACAAGAGGTGACGTACCCAGATTTGAAAACATGCTGAAAACCAACATGCTGCCTCTACCAAATTTGACTGTCTTCTTGGTACACTTTGAACTCAACCTTTTGCAAATTCATCTTCATATACTGTTCTTCTGACCACAACACAACATTCTTGTTTGCAAATTGCTGTCTTGCTGCTTTGTACTTTTTACTTATGAAAACTGAGATATGGAGAAAAATAAAGAAATTCTGGTATTTTTACTTTTGTTTGGCTTTGTTCATTCCCCTCTAAACACTGCTGAGCAAGTACATGCTATAAGAAAACATCCTAACAAACTGTTATAAAACGAACATTATGATTGGTTTAGACACTGAGCTGAACCAATCAAAAGCCTCCCTCAATTTGGTGTAAAGTCAATGACACTTGGGCCTTTTCAAACTTGTGCCTTGGTTGGTGAGTGAAATACATCTACTTTAATTTGTCCAGTCAACATGGAACTAACTCTGTGCAGTCCGTTATTCCTACTGTGACAGAGAGTCTGGGAAACACACACACACACACACACACACACACACACACACACACACGTATATTTTCTTTTTAATGAAATTGGAGTAAATTTTTTACTAGCAAAATTGATCAGAGCATTTCCTTTACTGATGGGAAATCTGATCTAGAGCAGGAGCTGTACCCATTGGAACTGGGTCATTAGCAGACAATGGAAATGGTCGAAATAATTTTTATTGATTAAAACTTGGAAGAGAGCTGAGTAAGTAAGGAGGACCTTTAGAATTCGCATGATTTTGGTTGAAACAGCCAAAACCGTATGATAATCACGTGTGAAGTAATAGGACCAAGGTTCAGTTGTAACCAGCCGGATTTTTCTATATAAAAAGAGGCAGACGGAAGAGAGAGACGGAAGAGGCAGACAGAAGAGGCAGACGGAAGAGGCAGATGGAAGAGAGAGACAGAAGAGAATTAGCACGGGCAATAGTTGGGCTAGAGACAGTGGAGAGTCGAGTTGAAAACTCAAGAAAGAGAGAAAGTGACGTCAGAGATTGGAACGAAGCGTCCGCTAACATTTACTGTTGATATAAGTACCCCTGCTTCTGCTACCACGAATATTACTACTACTGTTAATACTGCTAAGAAGGAACGCCACTATAAACTTTAAGCCGCATACAGAAATATTATTCCCCCATCGCAAGAGTCGTATATCGTTCTGAGGCGCCACCGTCGTGTTAAGTATTTTTCCTTTCGCTCTGTCGTCGATCTCTCTTCTCGTAGGAAAGTGATTGTTGACAATACGCTAGGATGAGCGTAGCAGGGTCAGACGCCACAGATGACCTTGGGGACGTGGGAGTCCCCGAAATATCGATGGGTTTTAGGAGGCTGATAGGTAGCATGAAGCTACCTACTTATAAAGGAAACTTTGCGGACCTGCACAAATGGATTCTGTTCATTCAGAAGAAGCAGGTGATCTATGGCCTCTCGAACCAAGAAATAGTGCTCCTAGCTAACGACGCCGCAGCGGGGCAGGTGTCCAAGTTCATAGGTGGGTGGTACAAAGAAAACCCGACCCTGACGTGGACTGACTTTAAATCCGCTCTGGTGCGGCAATACGCAAGTGAGCGTACGGGCATTGAGGCAGTCATGAAATTATTCCGACTGCAGCAACAAGAAGGAGAGACTAATGAGGAATTGGGGAAAGAATCACGGGGCTAGCGGCGTTGGTTTTTCCGGAGTTGGCGACTCGGGACAGTGGTCCTATTTATGCCTTGTTGGCCGATGTGTATGTGGACGCGCTGAGTGACAGGGACCTGAGGGGCGATGTTCTGAAGTTGGAACCGGTCAGCCTGAACGACTCTGGGATAGAATAAGAGGGGGTGTAGGTAGGAACCCGGGCGGGGGGGAAGTAGTCATGAAAAAGAAGGACTAGGAGCGGATCCAGATACGGGACCCGAAAGAAGAGGTGAAAGAGGACTGGAAGGCTGAAGCAGTTCCCAATAGGAGAGCCTGGGATCTGCGTTATGAGTTTCGCAAGCCCACACCGGGCCGATATGGGCTGGTGTGCTGGACTTGCAAGTATGGTGGGCATCGGGCCCGCGACTGTCCGACAAACTATGAAGGCGACCCAAGGTCTTTGGGGCCGAACTGCACGACTTGTGGCGAGTTCGGGCACAAGGCTCGGTGGTGTACGGCAGAGGAAGACCGTAAACTGGGGATAAAGCGTGTTAATACGCTGGTGACTCCTACTGAGAAGGAAAAGGGTCCGGGAAACGCCGTTGGACCACCCGTGAAAAAGTAAGAGACAGGGTGGCCCCAGTGTAAGTAAGACTTCTGAGATGCTGGACATGTGGTGTGTTTAGGCACTTTTTGGCAAGTTGTAAGGAGCAAAGGCGTTGGCGCTGTGGAGGAGCGGGTGACCTGAGACGAACCTGTCCTCGCAGGAGAAAGATGAACCACACCGAACGGAACAACCCTAACTCGAATAGAGGAGAGAAATGGGTTGCTAGTCCGAGAAAAGAGAGTCATCCGAGCTCTACCCCACCCAGGAGGGCCCCTAGACAGAAATGGGTGCCCCTAGAAAACGTTGAACTCCTGTCACCGACTCCCACAACTCGGTTGTCGAGAAAGCGAGAGGAAGGGAGAGAACATACGGGAAGGAGAAAGGCACAGTTATACCGTTTGCTGAAGGAAGCGCCAGACTTCACCTGTAATGTGTTGCTGGGAGACAAGAAGGTGAAGACCCTTGTCGATACTGGAGCTTCAGTGTCACTGGTTAGCTCCAAGGTTTTTAGACAGTTGGGACTGAAAACGAAGCTTAGTCCCATCGATCTACTAATAAGTCAGGCTGATAGTAGCAGGATGAGGATAGAGGCTATGACGTGGCTACCTTTCCAGTTGGCAAGAACCAGAGGTAAACTTAAGGTTTATGTGGCATCTGACTTGTGTGGTGAGCTAATTTTGGGGAGTGAACAGCTTAGGCAGAATAAGCCACCCTAACATTGGACGGGATAGGGATACTGTTCTAGGAGAGGATAATTAGAACTATAGCCAGTGGTAGCCCAGACAGATATTAAGCTTCCCCCTAGGACTACTGTATCTGAGAAGGGCAAGATTATAACAGAAGGAGTGCTGAACCTGTACCAAGTGATCCCTACTGATAGGTATGATAATAGTGAAGGGGAAATAACCGTGTGTGATTCGTTGGTGAAGAGGTCGGGGACCGTTCCCTTACTGTTAACAAATACTGCTAATAAAACTATTAAAATAACGGTAATCAGGAGGTAATAGCCATTACTGATAAGGAACTGGGACAGACGGAGACAGTTAAAATGAAGATAGACACGGGTAATCACCCACCTATTAAGTTAAAACTGTATAGGACCCCAATCTACAAAAGAAAATTAGTAGAGAACGCAGTGAATGAAATGATGAAATCAGGGATAATCGAAAGATCCAAATTTCCCTGGAGTTTTCCAATAGTGATTGTTGAAAAGAAGGATGAAGGGCATAGGTTTTGTGTGGATTTTCGTCAATTAAATGCCATTACGAAACCGCTGGCAGTGCTCCTCTCCTTGATTGATGATATTCTAGCTCTTTTAGGAAAGTCTAAATGATTTTCCACCTTGGATTTGAAGTCGGGATATTGGCAGGTAGCACTTAGCGAAAAGGATCAGGAAAAGACCGCTTTTACCTGCCACATGGGTCTCTTCAATTTTAGGGTTATGCCGTTTGGGCTGGCAAATGCCCCGGGTGTATTTAGTCGGTTAATGTCCATTGTATTGAATGGTACTGAGGCCTTTGCCATGGCGTATCTAGATGACATCATGGAGTTTTCAAACTCACCTGAGGAGCATTTTGAACATCTGCAGATGTTCGATAGGTTAAGAGAACATAGGTTAAAGTTAAAATTATCAAAGTGTTAGTTTATGAAAGAAGAGACAAAGTACTTAGGGTTTATCATAAACAATAAAAGGAATAAAAACGGATTTAGACAAAGTAGAGGTTATAAGAGCCATGTCTGCGCCGAAGACCGTAAGAGAGATTAGGGGATTTATTGGAGCCATCGGATATTACCGGAGGTTCATACCAGCATTTAGTCGGCTAGCAGGCCCTCTAATAGCTCTAAATAAGAAGCATGCTAAGTTTAAGTGGACCGAGGATTGTCAGCGTGCATTCGAGGCTCTAAAGGACCAGCTGACAGCTATACTCCTGTTGTCCTACCTAGACCTGAGTAAGCCCATGGTGCTGTACACCGATGCTAGCGATAAGTGTATCGGGGAAGTTCTTACACAACCATGTCCCGATAAGGATGGACCAGTACCGGGTGTGCCTGAGGAAGTGCCGATCTATTTTCTGTCTCATCGGCTTTCTGAGACTCAGCAAAGGTGGCCACTAGTAGAAAAAGAGGCGTTCGCCATTCTGTATGCTGTGCAGAAATTAGATTATTATTTGAGTGGGGCTGTGTTTACCACTGTTATAGACAAGCGTATGGTTGCAAGAAAGAAATACGACAACAGTAGAAATAGATTTACGTGGTTTATTTCAACAGGAACGTGAGGGTTTGGGACAGCTACCTTGTGGTAAAGTTCATAAGCCGGCTTTCGGATCTGGTCGATCTCTCATAGTAGTTCACACATGTTGACGGTGGTTGACGCTCCCCTGCTGTCAGCAGCTGGACGTGACAGGTCTCTATCCTGGGCACCTGTGGACCGACTGTTGAACTTCCGTGTGACCCCTTTTATAGCGATTTTTATGGCTTAACAGGCTCGAGAAATGAAGCGAGTATAATTAGGAGGGAAGCATTTTTATTGGACGAAAAATAGCGTACTTTAAATATTATTTTATTTTTCGACCGGAACACGTGTGTCGGGAACATTTGTGAAGAAAGATAATGGTCATTTTGTGACGGGGCTTTGTCCCGTTTACATCCGGTTCTCACTCTTGAGTGTTTGCCTGTAAATCAGCCGAGATATGTCTTATTTTATTTTATAACAAGGCTCCCCCAGATCTCGGTCTCATTTACAGTGAGCGTTATTCGTGTATATTTGAGTGATTAATTCATGATAAAGTCTCTGAAGCGTGTGGGAAGTTGTCCTCGTGTTCTTATTGGCATTTGTTTTGGTATGGGGTTATTTGCTGAGTTATGTGTCCCCGAGGGATGTAGAGGAGAATGATCCTGGTGACTGTTACATGGTGGAGGCAGAGGGATTGTGTTAGAAAGATGTGTTGGACGTGGAGCCAGTCGTCGGATATGTGCACGGTGAATCCAGATTGTATCACCATCATCGTTTTGCACCTGACACATCATATTGTTCGTTTTTATAATGGTGTAATTTCCTATCCAGGGTAGATGAGAGGATTGGGCTACAGTTGAGTGTGGCCGATGAAGTAAAACCTTGTCGCCTACTTGTATTGGGTCCTTGTATGTGAGGCGATTTAAGTTAGTCTCAAGTTTGTGGTCGGCTTCATCGTTGGCCAGGGTGACGTGGTGGTGAACCTGCTTTAGCAGGGCATTAATTTGCATTCCATATGCTCCAGGATCGTCGCTTGTGATTTCTTTTCTGTGTAGTGTAGGTAGGCCGATGTTGGGGTGACGGCCGGTAATGGCATAGTGCGGGGAGACACCGGTGGCGCTGTTGGTCGTGGCATTTAAACGACAGATTCTAGAACGTCTGTCCATTCACAGTTCCTGTCTTCGCATAACATATAAAGCGCGTTCTTCATCGTGCGATGTTGTCTCTCGATATTTCCTGAGCTTTGCGGGCGCCAAGGACAGTGAAGTTCTTGCGTGATTGACATCTGGTTACAGAATTGTCGATAGACTTCTCCAGTGAAGTGTGTGCCTCGATCAGAGGATACTATGCGTGGAATCTCTCTGTGTCGAAGGAAGAAATGGTACAATCCGCGGGCGGCGTCGATAGCACGGTCTCTCGCGGATGGTATGGCTGTAAAATGTCGGCTGAAGCTATCCAAGATGGTTAGGATGTAACGTTTTCCCTTTGAGTTGGGCATTGTGACAAAGTCTATAAAGACGAGATCGAATGGTCTCTTTCCTCGTTTGCAGTGGCCAATGGGCCAGTGGGTACGTATACCGTAGTTGCCCTTGCATTTAGCACACGTGTCGCAAGAATCGACATAGGCCTTGATGTCGCGGTATTTGAATTCCCACCAGTAGCTGGAAAGAAGTTCTCGCATACGGGTGACACCTGAGTGGTTGTTGCCCTCGTGTGCCTGGTAGAGGTATCTGGGTCGTAGTTTGTATGGTACAACCAATCTCGGAGAGTGTATACAGTCTCTTATCATCAAAACGGAGGTGCTTGGTTCTAGAAAAATTGGTGGAAATGTTTTTGAAAAGCGTAGCTCGGTGGTCGTCAGGATCGATATGAGGTTCGCTTTGGGGTGGGTGACTGGAGGGCGCTGATGATTTTGCCAGGGCGTCATCCTTCAGTTGTTCATTTGCGATGCCGAGGTGGTTTCAGATTCTCTCAGTGGGGATGGTGGTGGTGGAGGATAGGCGAAGAATGCGTTGGTGACGCGCTTGTGGGTGCGGGCGTTTTGTGGTGTGTGAGTTTTGGGAATGAGCTGTAAACCGTTAAACTCGCCGAGGCACCAAGATGGAATGTATACGCGGAGGTCTGAACCGCTTACCTCGAATGTCTTGCCTGCCGGTGTAGGGTCGTTCGGGGCTTTCGTTTTCTTATGTCCGCAGCCTCTGCTGAGCATGTCAGCCCATACATTTGATTCGCCTTCAACATATTCCAAGACGAATTTATAACATGAAATTTCTTCTTGCCATCGTCGTATTTTGGCATTATTGAACTCTCGTTGGTCCAGATATGTCAGCGATCTGTGGTCGGTGAAGATGACGAAGGGGCTGTTGCGAAGGAAATAATCAAATTTCAATATTGCCCACTTTATTGCATATGTCTCTCGTTCCGTCGTGGACCAGTTCTGTTCTGTGGAGTTAAATGTATGGGAAGCGACCGCTATGATATCTTTCTTCCCGTTGTCGGCTTCTTGCATTAAGATTGCTCCACATGCGACGTCACTGGGTCGGTGGTGAGTGTGAAAAGTTTGGAGAAATCTGGAAACGAGATGACGGATGGCGAAGAGAGACGGTCCTTGATTATTTGAAGGCTCTGTCGGCATTTTGTGTCCAGACAAATGGTTTATTAACCTTGTTGAGTTCGTGTATGGGACCCATAAGTTTTGAAAACATATCTGACCTGATTTGTTTGTGAAGACGTGTCTCTAGGAATTGTCTGATCCACACTAAACGGCCGATAAGGCTTTGTAATTCCTTTTTTGATGTTGGAGGTTTCATTTCCCTGATGGCTCGAACGTATTCTGGATCAGCCTTGAATCCTTCGCTGTTTACTATGCGTCCGAGGAATTTTGCCTCTGATGCGAGGAAGGAACATTTATCGGGATTCAGCTTGAGTCCGGATTTTCGGAGGGCAGTAAAAAATTGTTCGAGGGCGAGTATGTACTCCCTAAATGTCCTAGCGTGGACCAGGTTGTGGTCGATATAGGAAGAAATGTTGTCACGGGATGTGACCGTGGCTAGGGCTTCTGCTATGCAACAGGAGAAGATTTGTCCGGCAGCTGTAAGGCCGAAGGCCAGGCGCGTGTATTGATAGCATTGGTCCTTCCATGTAAATGCTGTTTTGTATCGGTCTCGCTTGTCGATCTCAATTTGCCAGTAGCCGCTGCGTAGATCAAGGGTAGTAAAATATCTATTGCCTTTGCCGATTTTGTTGAACAAGTGGTCGATCCTTGGCATTGGGTAAGGGTCAAGATCGATTAAGACCTTGTTGAGAGTTCTTTTAAAGTTAGCAACGACACGAATCGATCCGTTTTTCTTGCGTACGGCAAATACAGGGCTATTGAAGCCTTTGGGGTCGCTGCAGTTTTCAATGATACCTTCATCAGCCATACGCTTAATTTCGGTATGTACGTCTGCTTCCAAAGCCTGGGCGATCGGGTGTTGTTTCTGGCTGCGAGACTGGCCGTTGGTTGGTATGCGGATGGGTCGGATGAATGTGCCTTTGCTGCTGCTTTCGGTGCCGATAATGTCAGCGTAGCGAATGAGTAAGTTTGCAGTGGCCTCTAGTTCGTCTCGGTTCGGGTGGTTTGGTAGCCATAGTCCCGTGTTATGTTTTAGCCAGGTTAGCTTTTGATCCAGTGTCTGGATGTTGGGCTGTAGTTCCATAGTAGGCTGGTTTTGGATGATGTCAGCTTGGGCGCCATATGCTGGATCGTTGGTTGACGATGACGGTGATATGATTGCGGCTGTGTGTCCTGAGGAAAGTGTGCGTCTGAATTCTATAGTCGCATTTTGGTTGTCGATTAGATAGGAATCGAGCGTGTTGTGACGTAGGATATTTTGGCCGATCAGGATTGGTGTGGTTTGGGTAGTTACCAGCACGTTAACCTTTTTGAATGTGGGTGAGTCTCGACTGCCGATGGTGATGTCGCAAGTCAGTTCGCCGAGGGCGGTGGTGCTGCCGTTGATTCCTTTTACTACGACGTTGGAGCGGGTCATGAGTTTTTGGCTTCTCTGGGTAACTGAGATATTGGTACGATGCAGGTGGAGCATCCAGAGTCTAGCATTGCGACGCCAGAGAAGGTGATGTCTCTGAAGTTGAAGGTGGACTGGACGAGCGGTGAATGGTGAGCGAGTCCTTGAAAGTTGAAGGTGTGATGGCTGACGTAGGGGTATGGCGAACGAGGCATCACATCTCGTCCTGCCCGAAGCGAAAATCCTGTTCCACATCATTTATGGCTTGTATATTATCATTCGTTGCGGCGATATGGGCCTGTGCCCTGAGTGCGAGGTGGGTGGCGATATACACAGTTGCGTCCATGGTGGCAGGGGCGACCTCTGAGGTAGTTCTTGCACACGCTGATTCGTGGTGTGTGCTGATGGTTTCTGCGTGTCGAATGGTGGCCATGTTCGGGAGGGTTGGTGGGGCCCGTCTGCTGTGGGTTTGGTTGCCTGCTGGGTCGGAGTGGCGCGTTTCTTTGGTTTGACCGCTGTGGTTTCTGTGTGAAATACACAGTGTCATGCGAAGTTGTGTCGTTGGATTTTACACCGCGATCAAGGTATATTTGAGCTTCGGAGGCTATGCCAATGGCTGAATAGTGGTTGTACATTGTCTTGACGAGATGTGGGTAGAGATTTGAGTTCCAAATTTTCACCTTTTCGCTCATTAGCATAGCGCCGATGATGGAAATAAGTCCATCGACTGTTAAGTCTGTATTTTTGTCTTTTTTGTATTTGTTTTTTATGTGGATGGCTGCCTCTCTAAGGGTGTTTTCAAGTCGACCCGTGAAGTCTGTTAATTTTTCGCCGTCTCGTCGTTCCAGGTTACAGGCTTGACTGACGTGTTGGAAGTTAGTCATCTGGCTTCCGTGGGCTCCTAATAAGTATTCCTTCAGTTGTTCGAAGGTGGATATGTCCTTTTTTGAGTCAACCATTTGCTGAAAGATACTTTGGTCCAGTAAATCTTTAGCAGACTTGACGAATTCGCTTTCCAGGCTAGGATAGGTGCTGAGTTCTGGGGTGACGTGGATTGTGTATGCTTTGTTTAGAGCCGTGATGAATCGGTTCACGTCATGTCCAGGGTGAAAAGTTTTCTCTAGCTTCAATGTGTCGCGTATAGTTTTTTGGCGCATCATTAAGCTGTAATCGTCGTTTGTTTGAGCGGTGGGAGGTGTTGAAGTAGTTTTTAGGGCAGTCAGCATGTCGTTTATGTCGGCTTGAATTTCCTGTATCGTGGCTTCGGAAGGCTGTGTTGGTCCCGTTTTCAAGTTGAATAGTAGTGTTTTCTGTTCCTTGATGAGAGTAAATAGTATTTATCGTTCCACCTACGAGGACCGAATATGGCACAAGGCCGATTTTAATGTGGGTATCCCCGAGCCCGTAGGCCCGGCCAAATATATAGCCTTTGAACCCGCCTAGACGGGTTCAGGCCCTGTCTACCTCCTCGGACGAAACCTTGCCCTTCGGCAAAGCCTTGTCCGGGTTCCTCTCTGCGTTAGCAGAGAGTTCGACAGAAGGCGTGCGCAGTCAGAGACCGCTCAACACCGATGAGAGTAAATAGATCGGCTCGGGTGAAGCTCGTGTAGTCGGTTATATTTCTCTTGCTGTACGCTTCTGACACCAGTGTTATAGACAAGCGTATGGTTGCAAGAAAGAAATACGACAACAGGAGAAATAGATTTACGTGGTTTATTTCAACAGGAACGTGAGGGTTTGGGACAGCTACCTTGTGGTAAAGTTCATAAGCCGGCTTTCGGATCTGGTCGATCTCTCATGTTCACACATGTTGACGGTGGTTGACGCTCCCCTGCTGTCAGCAGCTGGACGTGACAGGTCTCTATCCTGGGCACCTGTGGACCGACTGTTGAACTTCCGTGTGACCCCTTTTATAGCGATTTTTATGGCTTAACAGGCTCGAGAAATGAAGCGAGTATAATTAGGAGGGAAGCATTTTTATTGGATGAAAAATAGCGTACTTTAAATATTATTTTATTTTTCGACCGGAACACGTGTGTCGGGAACATTTGTGAAGAAAGATAATGGTCATTTTGTGACGGGGCTTTGTCCCGTTTACATCCGGTTCTCGCTCTTGCGTATTTGCCTGTAAATCAGCCGAGATATGTCTTATTTTATTTTATAACACCATTAAAACAGACCACCAACCCCTCAAATATTTGTTAAAGGCAGAATGGACGAATAAGAAGATACAACAGTAGGCATTGAAGTTAAGTGGGTATAACTGCATAATAGAATTTTTAGCAGGGAAGGATAATACCTGTGCTGACTTGTTATCAAGGATTCCGAGGCAATTAGAAACCAAATCTGTCAGGTTGGAGCCGGGTGTGGATGATAAAGCATTCCAAATTAATGTGATCAATTCACAGGCGTTGAAGGAAAGACTTGGTTGGGAAGATCAGGAAACGAGTGAAACGGAGCAACTATCAGGTCCAGGGTAGAGGCAGGGCGTACCTCCAAATATATAGTGCACGATGGAGTGTTGTATTACCTTTCAGGAAGAGATGAGGAAGTAAGTTTAAAAATGGTGATACCTGGGAAGTTGAGAGCTGAAATTCTAGACCAATGCCATAGGAGGTTAGGACACCTGGGAATTGATAAGACGTATTGATTAATAATGAGCAATTACTACTGTCCTAAGTAGATGATGTTGTGAACCATGTAAAAAAATGTGTAACATGCCAAGTACAGAGTCGAAGGGTAGGGTTTTCAGTATTAGAAATGGATGTTCCGAATTATCCATTTCAGAATGTAAAATGGATATTTCCAACCCCCTATGGAGAAACACATAGAGGTAACCTTTACATAGTGAGTTTTGTGGACTGGCTGACGAATTGGCCTGAGGCATTTGCCATACCGGATAAGAAGGCACGAACGGTGTCAGATATAATACTGAACGAAATATTCCCTAGGTATGGGGGCCCTGAACAGTTGGTTACCAATAATGGATCGGAGAATGTGAATCAGATTATGAGAGAGACGTTGGGAGAATTAAAACATACAGCACACATAACCACCTCTCCATATCGCCCCCCCAAAGTAACGCTAAGGTAGAAAGATTTCATAAGACCCTCGCTGATGTGTTAGCTAAACTAACAGAGGATAATAGGGAAAATTGGGATTTATTTGTAACCCAAGCGTTAGCAGCTGTGAGATTCACGATGAACGAGACAACAAAATTTCCCCCTTATTATTTGATATATGGCATGGATGTAGTCTTACCAATAGACAATTTGTTACAACCTATGAGGAAGTATTTAGGAGAGGATCATCACTAAATAGTTTCAGAACAACAGTATAAAATTTTTACACAGGTGAGGCGGAGGATTCAAAGAGCCCAGAAAAGGCGAAACGATAGGGTAAATAAAAATAGAGAAGTTTCTTTCCAGATAGGTGATCCAGTGTATTATAAAATACACATGAGAGAAGGTAAATTGGACCAGAGATGGAGTCCATGCTATAGGATTGTGGAGCAGACGGGTCCGGTTTCCTTTGTGATCTGGGACCAATTGACCGGACAGATAAAGAGAGTACATGCGATTGATATAAAGCTAGCTGAAATAGGAGAATGGAAAGGAGCCGAAACAAAAACTCAATAGAAAAGGCTGAGGAAAACTACATTGGTAGAACTTGAAGGGTTAGAGACTGAGAGTGAAAGTGAAGGGAGTGAGGAGATTGAAATTAGCCCAACTACCTTTCGAAGGCTGAGGGAGGTAAATCGGACCCCAGCAAGACATTCTAAGGAAGCAGGGATTGAGCCTAACCTTAGGGAAGAAGAAGGACTGAGTGAATGGGAAGAAGAGGATGAAATCACATTAGCTCAATTGCAGAGTAAATTGTGGGCTGAAAAAGTACCTAGTGTTAATGAGGAAATACCACTAAAACTGCGATTAAGGGGGGGGCGATGTAGCCCGAGCCCAAAGATTAAGTGAAACCAGTACAGTGGCTATGGTGAATGAGTGACGGTCTGGGACTAGCTGTGCATTTATCATCAGTGCTGGTGAACTGTGGACGACCCCATGCATGCACGGCGCTGGTGGTGGTGTAAAAAATATTTTGAGGTATCGCTTCAAGATGTAACCACCCGCTAAAAACAATAAGAGAATGATTAAGACGAATTATTCTCTCCATCTCTTTGCAGACATGGACGAGAGGAGGCTCGTGGTACTGACGATGCTCGATATGGTAGCTAATACCTGTGAACGCAGTGAGAATACTGTATTTAAGAAGACTAGCGAAGTGATTATAACTAGATCAGTGGTTAACTTTGGTGATAGACCTGCAGCCGTATGAGAAGTTACTGGGTCAGTTGAAGACTGAAGTGGACAAACTAGATACAGCCAGGACACAAGTCGCCGGAGACTATTTACAGACTCTGGAATACCACCGTATATTATACCCCTTAGCTCAGGAATCCCTAATACTTGAGAGACAATGGAAGGATATGAGTTACTATTTGAAAGGAATAAAGTTGTTACGGATAATGGAAAAGGCATTAAGCGTGTTGTTTGGTACAGTCTCCGAAGACGAAGTGAGAGTAATTAAGAGGAAATTAAAGGCGGTAGAACAGAGACAACAAACAATGGCTCAGTCGGTTAGAGAGAGCGAATCCATACTCAATGTTACTAGGCTGGAATTGGCTAAGAATAGAGGGAGTATCAATTGGTTGATTTCTAACCTACAGGTTTTTAGAAAAGAAGTGATAAATGTAACCACGTCTGTAACAACCGAATTACAGAAATTGGAGGGGTTTCTCCAAAGGTATTTTCAATTATTAGCTGTAATGAGTAAGGTACGTCAAACAAGTCGCTCTTTAACGGTGTTGTTAGTGCATGTGAGAGCACAATTAGATATGCTGTCGCTGGGACACCAATCTCTGAGTATAATAACGCCAGAACGATTAAGGGAAGTACTACTGGAGATACAAGCCAAACTACCCCATCACCTTAGATTACCTGTAGATCCCACCCAGCAGTTATGGAAGTATTATAGCGCCTTGGGATGTACTACCTTGTTGGAAGATGACAAATTGCTAGTGCTAGTGTCGGTTCCATTACTAGAGATAGTACCTTTGAAATTTATCAGGTGATGAATCTTTCCCTTCCCTATTCAAAACTAAGGCCGAAGATAGGAGCGGTGGCTAGGTACAAGGTAGAGACAGAATTTGTTACCCTAAACCTAGCCAGGACAGAGTTTATGCTATTAACAAAGGAAGGAGCAGAAAAATGCAAGAATGATGCTTTAGGTATCTGTGGGTCTGTAAATCCAATTTACGTGACAGGTAGTCACAATCTGTATGTACTAGGTTTATTTAAGAAAAATAAGAAGGGAATTAGAGATCATTGTCAGGTAGAGGTGTTGGCTACTGTAATGTTACCTAAAGCACCCAGTGTCTCTGACGGAATTTGGGCGGTGGCCACACAAGAAGAGATCGAATTATCTCGAATTGTGAAGGGAAACCCACCACTACGATAAGAGTTATTCCCCCTTTGTTTTTCGTAGAGCTACCTATTGGTTGTGAAGCTCATGGTCCATCTATCTCTTTACCCCCCCCCCCCACTACCAAGCAGAAGAGAAGTTTGAAGAGAATGAGGCTTTTTTAGAGCTGGTAGGGACGAACACCAGTGGATGGATGGAATTGTGGGAACCCATTGTAAGACAGATTCCTAAGATGTCGCTAGAAAAGATACTGGCGCTGTTAATGACAATCTATAAGATTGAACTTGGACGGTTGAAGTCGGAGTTAGGTAAGATAGGTACGCCGAATTCGGCCTGGAGAGAGAATTTGGTTGCTATAATAACCTGGCCGACCATTGTGGGAATTATAGTAATGATAGTCATGGCCTTGCTGGTTTGGTGGTTGTTGAAGAGGTGTGTGGTGTTGTCGACCGGGCAGAATAAACTGGCACGGGAGTGCATGAGTGAAGGAGGGATTCCAGTTAGTGCACTTTACCAAGGTAGGTCCGACCTGAGGCATTTTGCAATTGGGACTTGAAAAAACTGATATTGAAGAAGAGCCAAAAAAAAGGGAAGAACACTCGAACTAGTGAACTATGTGAAAACGTCCTATTGTACGAGAACACCAAAACAGTTAACTTTAACCGGAAGTTGCATGTACATATGTGTCGTAAGGACAATGAAAATTTAAATGGGCATAATGAGCCCTAAGAAGAACTAAGGACTCTACCTTTGCATGCTGGAAGAGACGTATGTTTAAGTAGACCCTAGTAAGAAGCATGTTGGACTGGGTTTTCTCATATTTTGCTGATATGAAAGCTCGTGTGTCACTTACTAGTAAATGACAGAAGGGTAGGAGAGGAAATGTGACAGAGAGAGTCTGAGAAACACACACACACACACACACACACACACACACACACACGTATTTTTTTTTTTTTTAGTGAAATTGGAGTATATTTTTTTACTAGCAAAATTGATCAGAGCATTTCCTTTACTGATAGGAAATCTGATCTAGGGCAGGAGCTGTACCCATTGGAACTGTGTCATTAGCAGACAATGGAAATGGTCGAAATAATTTTTATTGATTAAAACTTGGAATAGAATGGTGGACCTTTAGAATTCACATGATTTTGGTTGAAACAGCCAAAACCCCATGATAATCACGTGTGAAGTAGTAGGGCCAAGGTTCAGTTGTAACTAGCCGGATTTTTCTATATAAATGCCTAGTTATGCTGAAGAAGAGGCAGACGGAAAAGAGAGACGGAAGAGAATTAGCCCAGGTTGGGCTACAGACAGTGGAGAGTCGAGTTGGAGACTCAAGGAGAGAAAGTGACGTCAGAGATTGGAACGAAGCGTCCGCTAACATGTAATGTAAATATAAGTACCACTGCTTCTGCTACTACAAATATTGCTACTACTGTTACTACTGCTAAGGAGGAACGCCACTATAAACTTTAAGCCACGCACAGAAAACTTATTCCCGCATTGCAAGAGTCGTATATCGTTCTGAGACAATTTAACAACAAGTTAATCATAACACACTCTCTCTCTCTCTGTCCAGAATCCAGTGTATGAGTTTTTACGTCAACTACTTATCTTTTCTGTAACCCGTTTCTTTTCTATACTATTCTTTTCTGCTATATAAAAGACATTAACAATTCAATCATTGAATAGTTGTTTATCCGGCTTTCTGTAAATATTAATTTTTTTTTTTTTGCTGCATTCTAAATTTCTTAGCGCAGACTCTCCAGCCGTGTCTACATCTTCAGTCGACCGTGAATAGATGAACATCACTTCTGCTTTCTGGATCAAACCAAACACAACGTGGGCAGGAAGCAGGATTAAACCAATGGACCGGTCGAGTAATCTACAGATGCTCAGGGGACCTACAGTATGTCCGAGTAGACACCTCAAGCCAGAGAGTAAGACGTCAGAGGTTGAGGTTGAGGGGCTGGGGCGAAAGTGTTAGACTACAACAAGGAAAACAATCCAGGTAAGAGGTCTCACATCTCAAGGTAAACTAAGATCAGTCTGAGCCTGCAAATCATAATTAATTTGAAAACCTACTTATATTTGTGTTTAAATATAATTGATTCATAATACTTGCTGTAACCTGTTTTATCTCTTTTTCTTAGATTTTCTCTTAATCCCTTCTTCTTGGGGACAACATCCTCACAACATGCAACTGGGAAAATTCCTACAAAACAGCAAAAAGTCAAGCACAAGTTACATTTCAATGATCTGCACCACTGATTTAGGTTTCATTTTATTAAGAAAGACAAAGACAGGAAGCATCATGACATGAAGGAATGCAAATAAAACTTTGGCAGCATTTGGGGGAAAATGCTGATTAGATTAAAAAAGGAAAGAAAAGAAATCCGAGATTACAATTCATCAAAATGTGAACTGGAAAGAAATGTTTTCAGAATAGAAAGTAAAATAGCAGATCAGATTTGGCTGACCGAATTTATCTTAGTGGGTGCTGATAAATTCACAGCCTGATCAACTAACCAAAATTTAATCAAACAGAAAAAGAAAAACAATTTCAGGTCAAAAACATTTCAACACTCTCTCATAGAATGCTCACAGAATATAAAAATCTGAAATTTCTATAGAGTAAAGAATACATAAAATTAGTGCCCCAAATCTATCAAACCATTATTAAAATAATATGCCCACAGGATAACAAAATCTGAAATTTCTGCAGAGTAAAGAATGGAGAAACCTGATGCTTAAACCTACAAAATCATTATTAAAATAAAAAAAAAGCATGAAATAACAATTTAATTAGAATAACTTAAGTAACCTAATTAGTCAACACTTGAATCCCAACTGGTTATAATGACAGTAAAACAATTCTTTGGTACTTTTAGTGGTAAGTTTTGTTTCTGTGAGGGGCAAGTTATTCAAAACTGATTCTGTTATTAGCATATGCAGTACTTTATACAAATTCAACCTACATAACTTATCATAACAAAGTGAAACAAATGAAAAATGGTCATATATAGTAACAACATAGCAATAAGTAGTTTAAAAGAAAAATACATTCTATTTGTTCCTGGTTAGTTTCCAATGAAAAAAAATACCACAAAAAAAACATAAAATATATTTTGGAGTAAATATTGTTCCATGAAATTACTTCTTCAAAGCATAAATATGTTTCTTGTGTCAATATTAATAATAAAAAAAATTATAGTCTTACACTGAATGGTTAAAAATTGTATTTATTACTAAGATATTTTTGCATCACAGAAAAAGATTTGATCGACACAGAAAAGTTAGATCTACCTTTTGCCAAAAGGGACAAAATGTATCACATCTTAAAACTTTTTTCTTTGGTCCAATATATATGTATAGCAAATTTGGGGTTGTTTGGTTATGTAAGCAAACAAACTATTATATATTCAAAAGTGCCAGAATTTTATAAGTCTGAGAAATTTAAAAAATTATTTGAGAGAAAGCACTTGAAATTACACTGGGTTTAAAAAGAAATAATAATAAAAAAATTCACCTGTTGAGTTTATTTTGAGATTGTGGTGGTATTTATCAACACCAAATCTCTGTGGCATGAACCAGGAAGTTCTAATATGCAGGGCTGGATTATCTTTTATGCTAGTCTAGTATAGGCTGCACCCTAGGGCCTCTCAAGCTTTTATAAAGCAATGTTTTTCATTTTCTAGCTGTTATAACTTTTAAATAGTTTCAAACTGAAATGATATCAATACAACAAACTCATATTCATTTTGACTTTCCAGAAAGAAATGCAAGGAAAAGAATGTTTTAGTTTTTGTTTCTTTGTTTTTTTATCATTTCAATTTTTAATCATTTCACCCCAAGTAAAGCACTAGAATGCAAGGAGTATTAGAGAATATGAAAAAACTACTATTAAGAAGAGAGGACAATAAAAGAACAAGAATTAAGATGATAGAAGATAACAATTGACATTGCATTTAAATCTTTGAAGATCAAAGACAATAAAGCCACTAAAATGCAAAGAGTTACTGTGTGTTAGAGAATATAAGAAAAACTACTATTAAGGAGAAAGGACAATAAAAGAACAAGAATTAAGAAGACAGAAGATAACAATTGACATTGCATTTAAAATTTTGAAGATCAAAGTTGACTGGGAAGAAAGAAGCCAGAATAGATTTCCATAAGTGAGAAGTACAATCGAAGAAACTGTTAGCATAGTACTTACAGTTACATCTAGCAATTTCAACCGTAAAATGAGACCTTGCTGCCAATCTAGTACTGAACTTAAATTCATAAAATCTAGGTAACATAGTAGAAAGTTCATCAGAATAATTACCATGAAAATATTTATAGAAAAAACACAGGGAAGCTGCATTATGGTGGTGGGAAAGAGAATGAAGCTGAGATGTCAGATTTCAGATTCTTCTTTGGATTTTATCAAGAATCTATAAATGTACAGCAGAGGCACCAGACCAGATGTTGTCTCATTGCATTTCATGTAGATAACATTTGATTTTAGTTCAGAATGTTTAACTATTAGAAATTTTTATAAAGCAGTTATTTTAATTTTCTAGATGTTATTTGTTATAGTACCTATACTTTATTAATTTAATCGCATTACAAGACTGGCAACAAGGTCTCATCAATTTACAGTTGAGTTGGTTAGATGTAACCGTAAGTTTTATGTTAACAGTTTTTTTTTTCTCACACTTCCTGCTTGTGGAACTATTTTCTGGCTCCTTGCTTTCTAGTCAACATTAATCTTCAAAAATTTAAATGCAATGTCAATCGCTATCTACTGTCTTTCTGATTAATCTTCTACTGTTCTCTCTCCTTAGTAATGTTTCTAATTTCTAATTCTTTCACACTCAGTAACCCATTGTGTCTTAGTGGCTTTACTACTTTGCTTGGGTGAATTTGATTAAAAAAAAAAGAATGGATACATGCAAATGAGGTAATCCAGATGGCAACAGAGTGTACAATACAATGTTTCATAGCCTATAGAAAAGAACACAGCAGACATTCTGATTGCTGCCATACATCAGAATTTTTCCAACAACTGCAAGAAAAAGTGATGGAAGACCCAGGCCAGGGATTGCAGGCTTTGGCATGGGAAATGGGTGTTGCAATTTCCATCATGAACCTGACCTTCAATGAGGATCTCCGCTACCAGTCATACAAGAGGTGTAAAAGTCAATTTCTTCCAAAAAAGTCTTGAGAAAACCATTTGATAAAGGTGAAGAAACTCCTGAACAAGGTGAAACATCCTGTTGAACCAGTGACAATCTGGTTCTTTCATGAAAAGGCACACCAGCTTGCCTATAATCAATATGACGTTCCCTGTGTTATGAAGACCAAGTTTCCCCCAAACTGTGACAGTTTTTGGGTCTCCAGTGAGGGTTATGTCATGCCACCTCACATCTTTGAACAGGGTCTCGGGCTCAATTCAGGTGGCTATGTGGAGTTACTGAACCCCGTGGTCAAGC